GGCCCATGTTCACCTTGGAGTCAATAATGACTCCAAGATCCCTTTCTGCCTCCATGCTCTCAAGAAGGGAGTTTCCCCATCTTGTAAGTGTGCTGCTGGTTACTATTGCCCAAGTGCAGCACCCTGCACTTGCCAGTATTGAAACGCATCCTGTTTTTGTTAGCCCACCCCTGTAACCTATCCAGGTCTTGCTGCAGTCTTTCCCTCCCTATTAGCGTGCTCACCTCAAATTTTGGTATCATCAGCGAATTTAAACAGGCTGCTTTTCACCCCGTTGTCCAAATCGCTGATAAAGAGATTGAACAGCGCGGGCCCAAGGACCGAGCCCTGGGGGACTCAGCTGCCCACTTCTCCCCAGGTCGAATATGACCCCTCCACCACCACCCTCTGAGTACAAGTCTCTGCTCCTTATTCCCACCAGCCTGCCCCCTAGAACATTTCACTGGGCTCTTAGCACCAAATGTTAACATCAAAATCACTCATGGGAAACTGGAGTAACCACCTTTGGAAATGAAACAGGACATGATTTTGCAATCTAAATCAATGCAGTCTCACAAAGCCAGGAGCACCGGTTCAGAGACGACCACATATACAGCGTTAAGATCTTAACAGATTCATTTGGAAAGCGTTTCCTTGCTGCTGCATGACCTCCAAATCAATCAATTGTTGTGAAAAACCAGGCAGCAGAGCAACCTCACAGATCCACTGTGTGGTGCTGCATCCCCCCTCCACACAGAGCTCTAGCCACTCCAGAGCTCCACTGCTGCACGGTGCTCAGGGGCCACCAGGAGCCCCCTTCACCCCTGCCTGACACCTCTGCGGCCGGAGCTGGGAGGGGTGGGCAATGCGTGGTACCTAGGTAATAGATGCTGGGCGCCACCCATCCACCGTAGGGCAGCTCCTGCAGGTGGTTGGAGGCCTCGTGGTTGCCACCGATGAAGATGGTGAGCACTGGTGCCTTCTTCTCCCCAGAGTAGTACCTGTTGGTGGTCACCACACAGTAAGTGCTGCCCTGCCACAGCTCCCTGCACCCTGTCACAGTCCCCATCCTCACTTCCTAGCTCCATCTCAACCCTCCACCCCCTGCCTCATCCTCCACAGCCCCACTGCCCAGCCCCCACATTCCCAATCCCC